GGCAGGGTGGGTGAGATCCCCCGGAGGGTCTCGCCTATCGGGGCGGTCTCTGCCTTCGCCCCGAGGGCTCTTGGTGTGTCACGCTGGGGCAGCATGAAAGGCAGGCTGGCTAATCCAAATTCCATTAGGCATCGTTAAGATCTTCCTTTCTCGTATTTAAAGCGCTTGGCTCTGTGCCTGGGCCTTTCGGTGTGTGCAGCACCATGTGAGGAGCAATTCTGCAGGGCAAACCCTGGGCAGGAGCAGGGATGCTGCCACAGCCGGTCCAGATAGCCCCGACACATCCCGTGATGCTGCAACTGGGCTGTGGAGGACTAAATTCCCAAACTGCATTCCCAGTCTTGTAACCTCAGGAATTTCCTCCAAACCGAACCAGGAATTTGCTTTCTAAAGGATTTATGGGGGGAGAGGTGATTCACCTGGGCAGCCTGGCAGTGGGTTTGTTTGCATTTTGTCTGTGCCATTCGGGTGCATCGGAGAGGAGCTTCTCTTCGCTTGCCAAGTCATCACTAAGTGATGCCTCTGGATTTATTTCCAGCTGTTTGACATGGATTCTCTTCACAACAACAGCAAAACCACCCAGTTTAAAACAAATTTATGAGGAATAAGTTACTCTAATATATCTGCTTTTAAATGCCAGTGGTTCTGTAGTCCTCGAGCCCTGCTTGTCTTCAGGAAAAACAGTTACAGAATCACAGAATGGTTTGGGTTGGAGGGGACCTCAAAGATCATCTAATTCCAACCCCCCTGCCATGGACAGGGACACCCTCCACTACACCAGGTAGTTGGTTACGTTTGCATGTGTATCAGCTAAAAAGCTAGCAAAAGTTTTTGGAAGATCTTGTCTGTGGTTGAAGATGTCGGTGCAGACCTGGTATTTCAGCACAGCAGCCATATCTGAAGCGCACTGCTGCAGGGACTGGACCAAAGCCCTTGGCCCTTCCCAGCTTTTTCACAGGACTGGCCAGACTGTGGGAATGGGAGGTTGTGTTTGCCTTGATTTTTTTGTTTGTTTGTTTTTTTGCAAATGGGGAAACTGAGGCACAGCGGTCCTGCAGGGAACCTGAGGCAGCTGCTGGTTCCTTGCCCATTTTACAGCCATCAGGATGTTCTCTTTGTGCCACAGCTGTCAGGCTGTGACACCTGTCCCCCTCATTTGGGTGGCACCAGGGTGAATTTGGGTCAGCATGGCTTAGCTGGGGCACTTGTCTCACTTGTGGGCAGCTGTGGAGCCATCCACCATGCCTCCTGCTCTGACATGTGCTCGTTCAGCAGATCCCATTGCAAAAACAAGTCAGTGGATTCGCCTGCTCAAGCTTTTGGTTGCCCAGGCTCATGAGAGGGATGCACAGGAGGTAGGGGGAGCAGAGGCTTTGGGTTTCCTCTAGCTGCTGAAGGACTTGGGGGAAGGTTGGGTCAAGAAGCAAGTGCCTTGTAGGGTTGATACAAGACGAGCTGGAGGATTAACAGCTGCTCGTGTTGTGCTTTCTCCTTCTTGTAGCCTGTGGGCCGCAGCTTGCCAATTCCCCCACCGTGATAGTGATGGTTGGCCTCCCAGCCCGTGGGAAGACCTACATCTCCAAGAAGCTGACTCGCTACCTCAACTGGATTGGTGTCCCAACAAAAGGTGAGACTTTCACTGGCTGCCTGGGCAAAGCACGGAATCTGGGTCCTTGGAAGATGCTCAAGGAGCTTAGTCCCTTGGGGACTGGCAGATTGTGGGGGATCTTTACACGATCCCATGGGCCAAATATCCATGTCCTCCCATTGCTTCTGCTGCAGCCCAGGTTCTCCTTCACTTTGAAGACCAAGGGATGTCCCTGAGCCTTTTGCTCTGAGGATGTCACCTCTTGGCCCATGGCTAGAAAGCATTATCTGCAGGAGCTGCACAGTTAAGTTGAGCTGTGCTGGTGCCTGCTCCTGGTTTTGATGGTCTTTGCCTTTCCCATGCAGTTTTCAATGTGGGGGAGTATCGCCGTGAGGCGGTGAAGCATTACAGCTCCTATGACTTCTTCCGCCCTGACAACGAGGAGGCCATGAAAGTCAGGAGGTAAGTGTGGTCACCACGTCTGTTCTTATACCCAGGTCCCAAATGGGTGGTGAAGCCCATGGCCGGCAGTGGGGTTGCCCAGCTTGTTTTGGGGGTGACAGACGGAAACTGGGCTCCAGCTTATGGTTTGCTGCAAAGAGCTGAAAACTGAAGTTGTCAGAGCTTGGTAGCTTTAGGGTCACCAACGCATCACCTCCAGGCTCAGTGATGTAGGGTATGAGGTCTGCCATGAGGTTTGGCCTTTGCTTCTTCATCCAGTGTTGCCTCTGCTGCAAAGACCAGTGTGCTGCTTGGCATGTGTGGCTCTTGTGTTTTTAGCAGACTGAGGATGTCTTTCCTAAGTGTCCCTGAGACAAGCGGGGAGGTGGCAAGGAGGAGCTGCAAAGCCCGCCCTCCTTTGCGAGGGGTCTGTGCTCTGGCTGCTGCAAGCATCTCCGAGGACATCGGGACCACGTGTCTTTCACCTCTTTTGCAGGCAATGTGCCCTGGCTGCCTTGAGGGATGTCAAGCTATACCTGATGGAGGAGGCTGGCCAGATTGCGGTAAGATCTGAGATGTGTTCCACAGGGTTTGGCAGCAGTCGTGGTCCCAAAGGCGCTGTGCCCTGTGCCGTTCGCTCTGCAGTTCCTTCTCTGAGGAAGGGCTCAGTAGGAGACCAGCTGCTCTTGGTGCTGATTGAAATCTTTGCTTTTAAAGGTTTTCGATGCCACCAATACCACGCGGGAGAGGAGAGGGATGATCCTAAACTTTGCCAAAGAAAATGGGTTCAAGGTTGGTACCATCAGGCTGCTGCCTGTATTGCATAGTCCACGTTAGCGTATCGTTGGTGTATCTTCTTTCATGAGCTTGTCCACATGATGCTCCTGTGTCAGGGAGATTTCACTGCTGGGTTGGATTAAAAATGTGAAACTCTTCCTTTATTCCCAATCCTGAGCCCCGGAGAAGGAAACGATGGGAGTGGGGCAGAGGGAGAGCTCTCCTGTCAAGGAGGGAAGAGGGCTGGGTTGAGCAAGGAGCTGGTTGAATGCTGCAAACCTTATTGCTGGCCTTCAGGTGAACTTTGTTTTGCTTTGCAGGTGTTCTTCATTGAATCCGTCTGCAATGATCCCACGGTAGTTGCCACCAATGTTAGGGTAAGCATGGAAACATCTTGCTTTTGTTTTCCCTCCTGGAGGATTTTCCACCTGTGCTCAGCTGATTTCTTGTCAGAATGTCTTGACCGAGTTGGTTGAGGATTAGGAGGTTTTTATCTTTTTATGATATGTTTGTCCTGGGATGAGACAGGAGCTTTTATCTCCCAGAGCCACCTGGAAGTAATGAAAATAAAAGTTGTTGTAGCCTTTCCCCAGCTCCCTTCTGTGCTCTCTGCATATCTGTTGATCTGTAACTTATGGACAGAAAGCATTCAGGATGCTTTGGCCCCCCCTCAAAGTCCCACTTTTTGGAAGTGATGGATGCAGTTAAGGGTTTAAATTCCATTGGCGAGCAGGCAGACTAAGTGTCTTCAGCCACATGCAGCTTCCCAAAATCTATTGGGCTCTGCTTTGAGAAGAAATGCAGCTCAGCTTAGAAACCTCCAAGAGATTTCTTCAGCTAGCTGAAGTCTTGGCTGGGAGAGCAGCATAAGGCATTGCTTCTCAACTACTTTGGGAGCTGCTGGATTTTTGATTTCCCACCAGCAGAAGAGCTCCTGTTAGGCTTGGCTAGGACAGGTAGATGTTATTTGGTCTATGTGGGCATGATTAGCTTGAATGAAAATGTCCTTTCCTCCACTGGGATCCGCTCCAGCCCTTATCTCCAGTTGTATGTCTGAACTTTGAGCCCATTTATGGTGTAAGTCTGTGAGAAGGGTTTTTGTTCTGCCCCTGGGACGGGCTCCACAAAGGATGCTGTGGTAGGGGCTAGAGCATGGCTTTTACTCCTGCTGTGAGCTGGTGTCCATGGCCAGCGATGAGCTTTTTGGGAGGTTGCACACAGCCTTGTCCATGATGCTAATAAAATGCTCAGTTTGCTCTATATTTTTTTTTTCTTATTTTTCTTTTTTTTCCCCTCTCCTTTGCAACATCCTGAAGCTGGATTTTTTTTTTTTGAGGATTTAATCCCTTTCTTTGGAAACTAGCGGTTGAAGGGGGAGAAAATGAACTACTAGCTGAGTGTAGGTTTTTCTCCATGGGGCACTGCAGATGAATGGTGCTCTTAGTGCTGGGATCAGTGTGGAAAATATGCGTGGGCCTGAGGTGCTGCCGTAGGTGTTGCTCGGTTACGTTATCCTGTTGGTTTTGGGATTGCTTGTGAAGTTACTAATGTGTAATGCTGCTGCTCAAACCCAAATCTTCAGGAAAAATAGCCTGTTAACAGTAGTTCAGGCAGAACTTAGTCCGTGAGAGTTCTGGATATTCACGTTGCCCGTTTCTGGCATCTTTCAGCCCAGTAGCTTGTAGCAAATAACCCCACAGAAAGGGGTTGAATGTTATCCTGCTGCCTCAGATGGTGGACAGCCAGGTTGACCTCTACCTCCTGGAGCTTTATTCATTCAAAAGGCCTGGGACAAGCATCGTGTCTAAGCTCATGCACTTTTCATTCTCTGCTCAAACTGTTTAAACCTAATACTTAAAAAAAGCCATAAAAAACGCTCAATTTTCCCACTGTGTTGGGTGGTGAGGTGCTACCCCAGCTCTTGGGAGAACGGGAGTGGACTGGTATGCATCTGTACTGGTCATGTAATGGTTTATACAAGATTTTCTCACCTTGTGCTTAGCTTTGGGTCTTGTTTGCTTTCTTGGGAGAACGAGAGTGGACTGATATGCATCTCTACTGGTTATGTAATGGTTTATACCAGATTTTCTCCACCTTGTGCTTAGCTTTGGGTCTTGTTTGCTTCTTTTCTGTCCTATGACAAGTGATGACTGCAGAGTGGCTCAGCTGATAGCTGGGTCTTGACAGGACTTTGAAATGTGAGATGAGCATGGTCTGGCTTGGAAAGCCTCCTAACCTCTCCTTGGGATGTGTTTTCTCTCCTGCTGCAGCAAGTCAAATTGTCCAGCCCGGATTACCGGGACTGTAATTCGACCGATGCCATGGAGGACTTCATGAAGAGGATCAATTGTTACCAGGCCAGCTACCAGCCCCTTGACCCTGATGACTATGACCGGTAAGAGGCTTTGCTGACTTCTGAACTGGCTTGAATGCCTTTCTTCTCCCAGGAGAGGAGTAATAAAGCATGGAGCTGTATTTTGCTTAATCTTCAAATATATGATGGTGCTAGAATAATGTATGGCCAAACCTCATGATGAATTTGGCTTCTTCCTTGAAAATGCTGGTTTTTCCCCAGCCTTTTGCCAAGGAGCTGGGCACTGAAACCTTCCCAGGCTCTTCTGGGCTCATACACTGGTTGTGCAGGCCCAAATACAAAGGTTTTGGAAAAGCAGTTCAGTTTGAGTGTTTCCGAGGTGCTTTTGTCACCTCGGAAGGTGATTGCTTGAACAGGCTCAAACCACAAAGTTGAGCAAGCCCTGTGGTTTCCACCTAGTTGTCTGCCCTGGGAAGACCTTTGCTGTCCTGCATGACCATGTAGGCACCTCCCAGCCTTTCCACGGCTGACAAGTACGTCTGTGTGCCCTGCGTGGATTATCCTGGTCCTGCTGAGCTCTGTCCTGGGGAGGAACGTGCTCCCTGCTAGTCTTACTTAATCCTCTTTACTGCTGCAAGGAGGAATGGCGATTACACTGGTGTTAGCTCTCCATGAATCACTGTTACCTGTTGACTTCCCGTTGAAAATAGCCTGCAGGAAATCCTTTTAGCTCGGTGATTATGTTGACTGAGATACCTCACAAGACTGTTTTTTTTTTCAAGGATTGTGTTTCCTTCTTTCTGCTTTCCCCACTGGCAACCCCCCTCATCCTTGCTCTGCTTTTCCTAGGGAGCTTTCTCTCATCAAAGTCATCGATGTCGGCCGGCGATTCCTGGTCAACAGGGTTCAGGATCACATCCAGAGCAGGATTGTTTACTACCTGATGAATATCCATGTCCAGCCCCGTACCATTTATCTCTGTCGTCATGGTGAGAGTGAGTTCAACCTCAAGGGGAAGATTGGAGGTGACTCAGGCCTTTCCAACAGGGGCAAGAAGGTAAGAGGAAAAGGAATATTGCCTTATGGCTTCTAGGAGTGATTTGGCTGTAGGAGACGTTGTGCGTTGGGTTAAGTATATGTATGATGACAGCTGGGGTGTTCAGAGGATCCATCTATAGGGCTGGTTAAATTTGGGCTTGGGCATGGCCTCAAAACAAGACTTTCCAGTCATTGACATTGCATGTAGTTAGGAGTAAACAGAGGCTGGGCTGCAGAAATCTCTGGGAAAGAAAGGATATGAGTGTCTCTGTGGAATTGGTCAGACCTTGCACAGGCAGGGCAAGATGTAGGACTGCTGCCATCCTTCGGTAGGGATAGCCAACTCCGAGGGTGCTTTCGGATTGCTCAATACTTGATTCTTCAAAGACATGGTCAAACATGCTGCTTCAGGGAGGGTTAATAACTATTTTGGCTTGCTAGACCATTTTGAAGTCCAGATGGAGTCATCTGAGGTGTGACTATTATCAAGGACTACAGAATACATTGATTTAGCTCTATGACAAATAAGCAGAGCTGTGGTTAAGGGTGGCCAAGGATCTTCCACTGCATTGTAGCAGAGCCCAGGTTGTGGTGCTGTTTCTTGGATGTTGATGTTGTTCCTTGATGACATTAGGCTGCTGTTTTCTCCTCTGTTTCCTCTCTGTTCTTATACCTCTCGTAGCTTTTGGGGATCATGGAATCCTAGAATGGTTTGGATTGGAAGGGGACCGTAAAGATCATCTAGTTCCAACCTCCCTGCCATGGGCAGGGACACCTTCCACTAGATCAGGTTGCTCAATGGATCAATGCATGTGTGGCCACTCTTCACCTCAGAGCAGAAGGCTAATACAGCTGCTTATGGAAGGCAAAACTGGAGAAGGCATCATTTACTGGGAAGCAGGGAATAAGGCCTATTGGGAAGCTGTGGATCAGGACTCAACCTCTTTTTTGTGTCCCACAGTTTGCACTGGCACTGAACGAGTTTGTTGAAGAGCAGAACCTGAAGGACCTCAAAGTCTGGACCAGCCAACTAAAGAGGACAATCCAAACGGCAGAAGCTCTCCAACTGCCCTATGAGCAGTGGAAGGCCCTCAATGAAATAGATGCTGTAAGTATCTTTGATCGCAGTAGGAACCGCTGGATCATGCTGGTTGCCGCTTGACGGAGAGGGTGGTAACACTGACCCTTTCACTTTTCTTTAAATCTTATCTTTTGTGGGGAGGTCCACCTTCTGAGGGAGAGAGTGGTACTTTCGCAGTACTCACAATTTGGCTTCTGGTATTAGCTCTACCTCGTGCTGATGCTTCAAGACGTTGGCTTGAATGAGCAGATTAAAAGATTTTTTTGCTTGGAACTGCTCCGCAGCTGACCACTCAGAGGTTTGTAGACAATTGCTTTGGAGAAGGTCTTGCCTGTTGGGCGTGCTGATGCTTTTTGACTTGAGCATGTCTAGTAACCTCATGGATGTCCTGTTCTGGCAGGGTGTGTGTGAAGAAATGACATATGAAGAAATCAGGGAGCAGCATCCAGAGGAATTTGCTTTACGCGATCAGGATAAATATTACTACCGCTATCCTTCTGGAGAGGTAGGTTTGCAAGGAGACCTTCAGACATGTGGCTCTTAATTTAAACATGGCCTTCTTGTCTTCATGCTGTCCTCTACACTTGGAGCAGAGGAGCAGCAAGTGCTCCAAGAAACTAGAACCAAGATGAGTCAGGGCTCCCATTTTGCATTGAGCTCTTAGGAAACCATGGTACATGAAGATCTCATTGAGAAACATAATAATAGTCCCACTGACTTGATAGCAACCTAGTAGGATGGC